CAATCAATTGAAATATTATGTATAAATGGCGAAATTTGGGTTATCGCGAAAAAATAATATTACTGTATGCTAGTCTACCCCAGGACAAGATTTGATAGTCTGTACGTACGTACACCCTTGGCTACTATTAAATTTGAGCCCTGATAGATGCGGTAGTGTTCTATATATATGTGCTGCTTGTAGTCAAAATAAATATATTAATAATTGTTTTACTATTTTTGTTGATAAGTAAAATCTGCCAAATTAAATCCATGTGAACAATCAAACTAACAATAGACGTTACAATTTTATATTGTGTATAAAGTATCTGTATCTCTAGCAAATCTGTGAACTTAAAACGAAGTGTATATCCTCAAAATACCAAAGTTGAGAAACTAAATATCAAACCAAATTGTTTCACACTTACGGTAGAAATAAATATTCGTGCTACGGTTCAATTGTCTTTTCATTCGTAATGGTTTCTAATACATTTTGTATAAGGAAGGTCATTGTGCTGTGATTGTATCTAGGTTATTGAGGCAGTGTTAGTGGTTGGCGGGTAAAGTATTAAGATCAACATCTTGCGATACTGTCATCCTGTCTTGTCTGTGTTATGTACCTTCTGCATTTGATTTTCTTTAAAATTTTAATCTGAAGTATCCATTTGTTTCATATACCGTACATGTACTTCTCCCTTCATATGCTCGTCTTCGGGTATACGCCCACCCTGTATTTTTAGACATTTAGCGAGTTGAGGGCATCCCCGGTTATTGTTTTTAACCAGGCGTTGTCGATATGAGTATAACAAGTATGTCTCATTGCATGACAATTGTGCTTGATATGTTAGTTCTCTTTTTGGAGTGTGTGGTACACTTGAACTCATTTACATTTCACAGTGTATGGCAAACAAAGCAACATGATTTGCACTCTTTCTGCCCTCTTATTACTAAAAATGAACCATATCTCTGAGTGATTGGAAACAGGTAGCTTCTGAAATGCCAAAAATATAACTATCAAGTCATGAAACCTGGTTATTGGGCATCTTTTTACTTTTTTACTGAGTAATCACAGTATCCCTTGAGACAATCAAGAATTGGGTGTGAACTGGTAAACTATGCTTTCATGTGGCCTGCTTGACGGCCATAATGGGATTTAATACATCATTCGTACTCAATTCCATTGGTGTAATTCGCTTCTGCATAGCGTTAAAAAGATACCATCATCGATAAACAGAAATTTCTGAAGTATTTTTTTAGTATGACACAGTATAACACACATACTGATTGTTAATGACAGATTTCACCTGTCATGTTGGAGACGTTGTTTCATGTCAAATCGTGCAGAAAAACAAGATGGCGAAAATTGCTTTGTATCGAGAGTTTGCGTACAATCTAAAACATTGCACAAAGATAATGATAAAGATCATGCTTTTGATTGTTTTCCCACAGACCCGAATGATTTTTGCACCTCAAATTCAGATCTTATGTAAATAGTATTGTAATAAAATGTGTGTATTTTTATGAACTTTTTTGTTTCTTGATTTAAAATGTGTTTTGGACACAACTCATTTTGCAATTTTGCTAACTAGTCTCTCCCATATGCTTCCCTGTTTGCCCTCATGTGCTACCCAGTTTCTCCCCTCATGTGCCTACCCAGTTTCTCCCCTCATGTGCTAACCAATTTACCCTCATGTGCTAACCAATTCCGCCTCATGTGCTAACTAATTTCCCCTCATGTGCTAACCAATTTCCCCTCATGTGCTAACCAATTTCCCCTCATGTGCTAACCAATTTCCCCTCATGTGCTAATCAATTTCCCCTCATGTGCTAACCAATTTCCCCTCATGTGCTAACCAATTTCCCCTCATGTGCTAACCAATTTCCCCTCATGTGCTAACCAATTTCCCCTCATGTGCTAACCAATTTCCCCTCATGCGCTAATCAATTTCCCCTCATGTGCTAACCAATTTCCCCTCATGTGCTAACCAATTTCCCCTCATGCGCTAATCAATTTCCCCTCATGTGCTAACCAATTTCCCCTCATGCGCTAATCAATTTCCCCTCATGTGCTAACCAATTT